CACCACTAATGGGTTGCACCACTAATGGGTTGCACCTTTAATGGGTTGCACCACTAATGGGTTGCACCACTAATGGGTTGCACCACTAATGGGTTGCACCACTAATGGGTTGCATCACTAATGGGTCACACCACTAATGGGTTACACCACTAATGGGTTGCACCACTAATGGGTTGCACCACCACCAGGTTGAGAACATCCTGTGCGGCAGTGAAGGCTACGTGCTGTGCGACTTCGGGTCAGCAACAAGCGAGGCGGTGCGGCCGCTGCAGTGCGGGGTGCCTGCTGTGGAGGAGGACCTGGCCCGCTACACCACACTTGCTTACCGCGCCCCTGAGATGGTTGATCTATACGCCGGGCACACCATATCCACCAAGGCTGATATATGGGTCTGTCTTGTGCACTAGCGATTCATTTTGTTAGTAATTTTTTTTTTGAATAATTCCTGTTTTTTGATCAATCAATTAATTATTTAAATCAAGGAATTTATCAAACAGTCTTATGATTAATTCCTGGATTTTTAAACGGCTGTGTCCATAACTATGCTGTTGGGTTGAAGTTGAAGCAGATGTATGGTTATGGTTTGTGGTACGTCTACGATGCATGTTTATTGTTTGTGGTACGTGTACGATGTATGTGTATATGGTTTGGGGCATATGTATGCCTGTTGTATAACACAGCAGCTTGAAGGTTTTCCTACAGTTTTGCTACAGTTATCCCTCCTACAGGCACTGGGGTGTCTGCTCTACAAGCTCTGCTTCTTCTCCCTACCATTCGGGGAGTCAGCGCTGGCCATCACGTCGGGGAGCTTCAGCTTCCCCAGCGACAGCCCCGTCAAATATTCCCCCCAACTCCTCGCCCTCATCCGTGCGTTCACTCCATGTGTAGTGTCATACAAGTAGGAAATAAAGATCAATAGATCAATGTGAATATATTCAAAACGCTTCAACGTAATTAAAGCATTAATATAAATATATTGAATAGATATTTCCTCTACTACTCGCCCTCATCCGTGCGTTCACTCCATTTGTAGTGTCGTAAAAGTAGGAAATATAAATTAATGTGAATATATTTAAGACGCTTCAATATAATTAAAGCTTCAATAACAATATATTGATTAAATATTGCCCCTTCTACATGCCCTCGTCCGTGCGTTCACTCCATGTGTAGTGTCGTAAAAGTAGGAAATGAAGATTAATGTGAATATATTCAAGACACTTCAATAAAATTAAATCTTCAATATTAATATATTAAATGAATATTTCCCATTCTACTTACCCTCATCCATGTGTTAACTCCATGTGTAGTGTCATAAAAGACGCACTTTAATACAAACAAACAAAATACAACATCAAATACAAAACAAAACGGGCAATTACTCAAAAACAGAGATTAAGTACAGAAAATACAAACATTTACTCACATTCTACTTCTAAACATGCAGTCACTCAGGAAAAACATTGGGGCAAGTCTGCTCCCCACTGTGCATTTCACATAAAGTGGCCTTCATTGAAGTTTGTTTTCTCACAACGCCTGCCAATTAGATTGAATAGTTAGCGCTGCAGTGAGCTTTATATTCTCTTATTTAACTTCAGATGCTATCATTTGTGCTGGAATTAGTTACCTATATTGAGATATTTTCTATTCGGTGTTTGACAAAGAAATTATTATTGACGTTTTATGCCAAATAAAAAAATTAAATTAAACACAGGCTACCTGCTTTTGTATTTAAATTAAAATTAAATTGAATAATTAAACACAGGCTACCTGCTTTTGTGTTGATTTAAAATGAAATAAAATAATTGAACACAGGCTACCTGCTGACGCCGGCCCCCGACGCGAGACCCGACATCTTCCAAGCGGCGGGAGTGGCGGCGAGACTGGCGGGCGTCCCGAGCTTCGTTACCGCCAACCCCGCCGTCAGTTCTGAGTCTGGCGGGCCGTGGGAGTCTGCTGAGTGGCGGGAACCTGGGGCGTTGTGATGTAGCTTTGTGTTGTAGCGTTGTGATGTAGCGTTGGGATGTAGGGTTGTGATGTAGCGTTGCGTTGTAGTGTTGGGATGTAGCGTTGGGATGTAGCGTTGGGATGTAGGGTTATGATGTAGCGTTGTGATGTAGCGTTGTGATGTAGCGTAGCGATGTAGTGTTGTGATGTAGCGTAGCGATGTAGTGTTGTGATGTAGGGTAGCGTTGTGATGTAGCGTTGTGATGTAGGGTAGTGTTGTGATGTAGGGTAGCGTTGTGATGTAGCGTTGTGATGTAGGGTAGTGTTGTGATGTAGGGTAGTGTTGTGATGTAGNGGTCAGGGGAGTGGATGAGTGTTGCCATAATGAGTTGCGTGTCGCCAGGTGAGGCCGGCACGTCGGTGGCGCCGCGGCAACGACCAAAGCCCCAGCAGCAGCTGCCCCCCTCCTGTGGGGGTGTCGTGCCCCCCCTACCCCCTCTCCAGCCTCCCCCTCACATCACGCCCCCCTTGCCTGGTGAGTGCCCTCAGTAAGTGGCAGGCATGCCCGAACCTGCTCGAAATCTGCCCCAAAACTGCCCTCAAAATTTGTCCTAAACCTGCTTTAAATCTGCTCCATAACTGCCCCTAACCATTCCCAAACCTGCCTCCAAATCTTCCCCAAAACCTGCCGCCAAATTTGCCCCAAACCTGCTCTGTTTCCTCAATCGGCGCAGATTTCTTCTCCAAGCTCTAACTGGCTAGTGTAGTGTTGGTACTGTAGTGCAGTTTACTCTACCACCATAGTACCAGCCGCTACTACGATGTTCAGGGGATGGCGGACGACGAAGGCGGCGCATCAACGTGACCGTTAATGTGCTGGCATAGAGCTTCACCTAAGGTTATTAGGTGTAGTGGTGTTGGTCGGTCTCACTTATGGTGGTTCAGAACACATCATAGGAAACATTTCTTGGTGATAATTCTATTCTACCTCGTGTAGTTTGAGCTAAAAGCTGTGTAAAATTAGGATTTGTAAACAATTTTTCATAATGCTTAAGTACATATGTTGTGCCACTTAAATTGTTAATACATTATATGTGTCACAGCCTTGTTTAAGCGCTGGCACATTCAAGGCCTTGTTTTCGGGGTATTTTCAATATAACCAAATTTTTGCATGTGTTGGGATTTTGCTTCGTTGGATCCATGTATAGTTCTCTTTTTGCAAATAAAAACAGTATCACTGCATAATAGTTAAACGTATCACTGCAAATAAAAACCGTTAAATTCTATATAAAACCATGAGAGTTATAAATAAATATGAGTTGTAACAATCTGGTCAGTTATTCCCATACTGGGGATAATTTAATTCTATGCTAATTTATCCATTTATCGACATAATGGAAGAGTAATTGATGTCTCCAACGTATATTTAGTTATATATGTCAATGTTGACTTCTGTGAATAAACTAATCACTCGTTGAATTCGGCTACAAGGTGATAAAAGTTGACATCTGATGTAATGCTACACTGAACATTGATGTTTACACACAACGCAGGTGCTCCTGGAAAGAGGAACGCTCCCGCCAGGGGTGACGAAGGAGGACCTGTGGATATCAAACAAACTGTGTCGCCCCCAAGCGAGGTCCTGGACCCTCAACAGGAAGGATTCCCTCCCGCTGAACTTTTCGGGATCGGGTATCCTGATCCCCACCTCCCCCTGTCCCACGCACAGTCCCCCTCCCCTAATCAGGAGGCACTGCAGACCGAAGCACTTTTCCCTGCGTCAGGTAAAGTGAAGACATCTGCCGGGGGCGTTGTGGCTTCAGGTGCTGGCTTATCTTCTCTTGGTGATCCTATTTTCTCTTCTAACTCTGGTACTCACGTGTTTGCTGCTAACCCCGACCCTCTATTCCCCTCTAACCCCGACCCTCTATTCCCCTCTAACCCTGATCCTTTGTTTCCTCCTAACCCTGAACCGGGCGTTTGCGGTAGCACTGCTTTACTCATCACCTAATCTCAAGACTCAGTGTTAGTTTGTCATCCATTTTAGGTGTTAGTGACCCACCTCAGGTGTTAGTGACCCACCTTAGCCATTCCTCTTTACCTTTACCCATAGAATCTCTGTAGGCGCTGTAGATCTGGCCCAAATAGACATGGACGTCAAGCCAAACATGGCTGGCGAAGTAATGGCTGTAGTGTAGGCAGTAGCCATCAACTGTCTGAAGTGTAGGCAGTAGCCGTAATGCCTCAAGTGCTCTGCATGTCTCACCGCCTCATCGAGTCTCAACACGGCAGCAGATCAACATTTATTTAAAGGCTCTATATGTTTATATGCCGCGACTTCCTGCTACGTCACGCTGCGCCTTATAGCTCCAAATATAGCGACCAGATATATCCAGCAGTTACAGCCACTCCATATAGCGACCAGATATATCCACCAGGTATAGCCACCCCTAATAGCCAATGCAATATAGCCACTCAATTTAGCCAGCAGCATATATCGTACATAACAGAGCGTGTATACAGCTTGCCGGAAGTTCTCTACTTGCAAGGCGTTCCTCGCACGTTTTCGCAGACGCTTACCCAGTCGCGGGATATTGTGAACATTGCGATGTGGTGAGGGAGGTGATGGTGAGAGGGAGGTGATGGTGCCCTCCTTCCACTCCTCCTGTACCCTCCTCCCTCTCCTGTTCCTTTCTCCCTCTCCCGTTCCCTTCTCCCACTCCTCCCACTCCTTTTGTTCCCTCCCACTCTCCTGTACCCTCATCCCACTCGTGTGTTCTGCTCCCACTCAAATATTCCCCATTAAACTCCTCTATTCCTCCTACATTTCTACCTCTTGTATCATTATTCATAGCCTTCCTTCGTATCCTTTTCTAGTTGTTATAGTGAATGTAGGATACCATATAGTGCAGGATCTAAAACAACTAGTATCTAGGATACGTACTATAGTTACCGTACTATGTATGGCACCATCTTGCCACTTCCCACGCGTGTATCTAGTCAACGCTGGACTGCGACGCGAGCATCTAGGATACTCTATAATGTATCTAGGATACGATATCGTGCAATGCTCAACCAATGCATCTAGGATATGAAAACTTCAGTGCCCAACTCGGGCATCTAGTGTGAAGTGTATCTAGGATACGAACTGCGCCTGTATCCGACATCGGGCATCTAGTGTGCAGTGTATCTAGGATACGAACTGCGCCTGTACCCGACTCGGGCATCTAGGGTGCAATGTATCTAGGATACGGACTGCGCCTGTACTCGACATCGGGCATCTAGGGTGCAGTGTATCTAGGATACGAACTGCGCCTGTACCCGACTCGGGCATCTAGGGTGCAGTGTATCTAGGATACGAACTGCGCCTGTACCCGGCATCTATCATCCTAGGGTACAGTGTATCTAGGATACGAGCTAATTTTATATCCGATTCGGGCATCTAGGATACTTAAAGTGTATTATATTTAGGATACGATGGCCTGCTACATGCTACTCGAGCATTTAGTGTACAATGCATCTAGGATAGGTCATACAAAACGAATAGTTAACTGTGTGCGTTGTTAACATCGTTCTTAGCGCTGTCGGTGTTAGCTATGCTGAACCCAAGGATATTTTGTTATCTATACTATGATCAAAATTAAGCCGTAGTCATGTGTTGTAAGCTATAAGTTCATACATAAAATATAATCAGCCTTCATTGAAGAAATAATCTTGCGACGCTGCATGCACTTGTACGCGATGAACGTGTAACTTACAACTTCTGAATGCTAATGTAACTCAGCAAGCAATTGTACTGTAAAGATTATACTTACAACTCAGGTACGGATAACGTTGCAGCGTTTTCATACTATTTAGGCACTAATAACATGGTTGTATAGCCATACAATTCAAGCGATTGAAGGTACTTTTTTCAGTGTTCAACGCAGCGAATATATAACCCCTCGTGCAATCCTTTCTTCTCGTGGTTGCAGTCTCGTGTTGTTTGATAAACGTTCAAATTCTAGTGTTGCAAGTCGATGCGCAGCGCACTCCTCTCATTCAGCAACCTATTACCATACCTTCATGTAGCATGTAAATAATGGTGAATAATATTAAATATTATCATATAATATTAGTTGAGTCAAGTTTCGGTCTGTGTGTAAGGATGAGGCGTGCCATCACCAGAATAAGAGAGTTACCCTCTTCGCGCAATTTTGTCCAGAATAGCATGTGTTCAGTCTGGTCAATGAAGAGCGAACGTGTACATGAAACGATAATGTGTGAAACAGGATACAAAAGATGGGCAACTGGACGCTGTGGAATATGAAATGATTACATGATGCAATTCCTCTGCACGAAATTATCTCTCCTTATCTTGCCATTTTCACATTTCTCTTTCTAAAGGCTCTGTAACTCTTTGGATCTGTTCAGTTACTGTCTCTTATACACATCTAGATGTGTATAAGAGACAGCAATACAATAAAGATATACACGAAATATATTAAAACATNTCGGGGCTGAGACCCGTGACCCGTGCCAGTGTCGGGGCTGAGACCCGTGCCTGTGTCGGGGCTGAGACCCGTGACCCGTGCCAGTGTCGGGGCTGAGACCCGTGCCTGTGTCGGGGCTGAGACCCGTGACCCGTGCCAGTGTCGGGGCTGAGACCCGTGCCTGTGTCGGGGCTGAGACCCGTGACCCGTGCCAGTGTCGGGGCTGAGACCCGTGCCTGTGTCGGGGCTGAGACCCGTGACCCGTGCCAGTGTCGGGGCTGAGACCCGTGCCTGTGTCGGGGCTGAGACCCGTGACCCGTGCCAGTGTCGGGGCTGAGACCCGTGCCTGTGTCGGGGCTGAGACCCGTGACCCGTGCCAGTGTCGGGGCTGAGACCCGTGCCTGTGTCGGGGCTGAGACCCGTGACCCGTGCCAGTGTCGGGGCTGAGACCCGTGCCTGTGTCGGGGCTGAGACCCGTGACCCGTGCCAGTGTCGGGGCTGAGACCCGTGCCTGTGTCGGGGCTGAGACCCGTGACCCGTGCCAGTGTCGGGGCTGAGACCCGTGCCTGTGTCGGGGCTGAGACCCGTGACCCGTGCCAGTGTCGGGGCTGAGACCCGTGCCTGTGTCGGGGCTGAGACCCGTGACCCGTGCCAGTGTCGGGGCTGAGACCCGTGCCTGTGTCGGGGCTGAGACCCGTGACCCGTGCCAGTGTCGGGGCTGAGACCCGTGCCTGTGTCGGGGCTGAGACCCGTGACCCGTGCCAGTGTAGGGGGCTGAGACCCGTGCCTGTGTCGGGGCTGAGACCCGTGACCCGTGCCAGTGTAGGGGGCTGAGACCCGTGCCTGTGTCGGGGCTGAGACCCGTGACCCGTGCCAGTGTAGGGGGCTGAGACCCGTGCCTGTGTCGGGGCTGAGACCCGTGACCCGTGCCAGTGTAGGGGGCTGAGACCCGTGCCTGTGTCGGGGCCGTAGCCCGTTTCTATGTGGTTCTCCAATGGTGGAATTCTATACGTACAAAAAAGTTTCACTACCGGAAAGTTTTCGACCACATTTGTATGCCATCACCAGGCCGTGTCAATACGAAATAAACGCAGACCTTGATCGAGTGATGTCCAATTCTTCGGCGCCAATTAATTAATCTTCAATAAATTTATTAATTTGGTGATAACCGCAGCCGTTACCACGCACCACACTCAGTTACTTATATTATTTGCGGCTAATCCAATGCTGAACGCTTCTTACATTAATTGCTTATCATCTGCTGATTTCCTTTTAGATTAATTCACTTCATAAACTCGTTCCCATAGCTCTGCACTAGTATGCACTAACCCACACTAATCTGCATCATTGCCCTCATCACCGTTTGGTTGGTTACAAAATTGTTCCCATTGTTACCTCTACACGCGCCGCATGTACAGGAGACCTGCACAACCCGTACAAAATAGTACTTATTTCAGTCTATTTTTACGAATATTTGACGAAAAAATACCTATACGAACGAAAAAATACCTGAATAAATACCTATGCGTAAATATTTCAGTCCCTCTTAAAGCTGAGGTCCCTTGCGTCAATGCAGGATACCCTGATCCTTTCAACGACGTCGGTCCTACCGCCGACGCTGGTCCTCTCGGCAACCAAGGTCCTGTGGACGACGCTGGTCCTGTGGGCGACATGTCCTGTGAACCTGGGAGTTCCCGCTGCGGCAGCGCTGAGGACTGCGCACCCCACACCCCTACCCGGCGCCACCATCAGCAGATTGTGGTCCTTGACCACCATCAGATGGTCCCCGACCATCAGATAGTCCTAGACCATCACCAACAGATGGTCCCCGACCATCACCAACAGATGGTTCCCGACCATCATCACCAGATGGTCCCCGACCATCACCATCAGATGGTACGCGACAACCCCCATCAGATGGTGCAGATGGAAGGCCCGCCACCAGCTGGTGGGGGTGGTGTGGGGGGCTGCACACCCCTGCCCCTGTCTCTTATACACATCTAGATGTGTATAAGAGACAGNGGGATATGGCCCCGCGGGCTCCACTGCGCTGAGTGTTGCGTGAGGGATATGGCCCCACGGGCCCCACTGCTGTGAGTGTTGCGTGGGAGAGTGGGGGATATGGCCCCACGGGCCCCACTGCTGTGAGTGCTGCGTGGGGTAGTGAGGGATATGGCCCCACGGGCCCCACTGCTGTGAGTGTTGCGGGTGTAGTGTGGGATATGGCCCCACGGGCCCCACTGCTGTGAGTGTTGCGTGGGGGAGTGTGGGACATGGCCCCATGCACCCTACGGTGCAACACCGCCCCCTAATCCCCTATTACTGTATTACTCCAATACCGTAGGACGTAAGTCGTAACCAATGCCCGGTAGTTTTGAATCATTACAGCGTAGTTTACCATCAAAATCGCTATTTTCTACGATATTTCGATGACTCGTTTTCTATGATTGTTCAGATGACGGAGGGGGACTGAGCCAGAACTGCTCGTCCTGGACACACGAACCTAACCCTGAAGACGATCCTTTCGGCGCCGCGCCCTTCTACCCTCCTGGTTAGTATCCTCCTCCCACAACGTGGCAAGGTCTTATCAAATTTATCTTCAATAAAAATCAGTACATTTTTTTATTTTCTCAGTAAGCAAAATCGTATTTGTCGTGCAGAAGCTAGAACGAAAAATACCTACTTCCTCATCCGTTTGATTTGTGATTTGGTAATGAAATTGAAACCTAATAGGTATAGAACTCCTCTGACTATAGAGAGGCATGTATGAAATGTTTAGAGAGGCATGTATAAAATGTTTAGAGGTATAGAGAGGTATGTATGAAATGTCAAGAGGTATAGAGAGGTATGTGTAGAATGCGAGAAGTATAAAGAGATATGTATAGAATGCCGGAGGTTTAGAGAGGTATGTATGAAATGTCACGAGTTATAGAGAAGTATGTATAATATATCCAGAGGTATGTATAGTATGTCGAAAGGTGCAGATAAATACGTATAAAATATCGAGAGGGATGTATAGTATGTCGAGATGTATAGAAAGGTATAGAGAGGTATGCATGCATAGGTACAGAATTAGATAAATTAAGCAACGACATTACAGTAAAAAGCTTAATTGTCCCGCGTAGGTACAGAATTAGATAAGTTAAGTTTTACATTACAGTAAATGTTTGATTGTCCCGCGTGCTGCAGGAGTGCCGCCGAGCGTCGGTGCTGCAGAGCTGTCTGCTGCAGCTCCTGCAGAGTCTCTGCTGCTGGCCGCGTCCCCGCCCAACCTGCAGCAGCAGAGCAGCAGAGTGTCAGCTGCAGCAACTGAACACCTGCACCTGACATCAGGTAACTCCAGCTGCACCAAGTAGACAACTGCCAGCTGAGAGTGAGACCAGAGGTATGGATTGGAGTTAAATACCTCAGACCGGAGAGGTATAGAATGAAGGTAAAATACGGAAAATACCTCGGACCACATGAGGTATGGAATGAAGGGAAATATACCTCAGACGAGAGAGGTATGGAATGAAGGGAAAATACCTCATATGGAGATGCGAGGAATGAATTCAATGTGATGTTGTGGTGTCGTTCTGTTGGAGGAATTACCGCAGGAATAGCATTGTGGACTTGAGAACTACGCACCGGTACGCCCATATTGGTCATGTAGAGGTATATTTTGATGGTCAGTTGGGGTGATGGTGGTCAGTTGCGGTGATGGTGGTCAGTTGGGGTGATGGTGGTCAGTTGGGGTGATGATGGTCAGTTGGGGTGATGGTGGTCAGTTGGGGTGATGGTGGTCAGTTGGGGTGATGGTTGTTGTTGGTTGTTGTCTTTGGGGTGAAGGTTGTCGTCTTTTACTGCGCTTGTTATCTTCGCACGATTTCTGAAACCTTTTCATTATTTATTTTAATAATCATAATATGATATTTACAACTGCGTTATTAGAGAAGTTATATTAAATTAATTATAAATATAGTACGTATGATAGCTTTGCAGCAATACTCTTATATCTTCAAATTAGTTATAAGTCAAACCGTTATTTTTAAACTTATTTAACCCACACGAATTTATTAATAAAATTAGATCTGTTAATTAATATAGGAGCTACTCAATATATGTTGCCGTGTTGACATGACCAGCCTGTGTTGCCGTGTTGACATGGCAGCCTGTGTTGCCGTGTTGACATGGCAGCCTGTGTTGCCGTGTTGACATGACCAGCCTGTGTTGCCGTGTTGACATGGCCGGCCTGTGTTGCCGTGTTGACATGACCAGCCTGTGTTGCCGTGTTGACATGGCCAGCCTGTGTTGCCGTGTTGACATGGCCAGCCTGTGTTGCCGTGTTGACATGGCCAGCCTGTGTTGCCGTGTTGACATGACCGGCCGGTGTTGCCGTGTCGCCGTATTTACATGCTCATGCCTGTAACCTTATACTATAATAAAACATTTAACCTCTGCCACCATAGTATCCTTATCCCTCCTCTCCATCCTCCATCTCCCTCCTTCCCTCTTCCCTCTCCCTCTTCCCTCTTCCCTCGTCCTCTTCCCTCTCCTTCCTCTCTCTTCCCTCTCCCTCTTCCCTCTTCCCTCGTCCTCTTCCCTCTCCTGCCTCTCTCTTCCCTCTCCCTCTTCCCTCTTCCTTCGTCCTCTTCCCTCTCCTTCCTCTCTCTTTCCTCTCCCTCCTCCCTCCCTCTTCCCTCTTTTTCCGCCCTCCCTCTTCTCTCTTCCCTCTTCCTCTTCATCTTCCCTTTCCCTCTTCCCTGTCCCTCCTCTCTCTTTCTCTTCCCTCTCTTCCTGCTCTCCTCTCCTGCACGGCAACACGGGCTGGGGATCACATTATGAAATGCTCCAACACATTTAAAAGACGCATATGAGCGACACGGATATTTGAGCCACAATCTTTAATTTTTGTCTCGATTCCTGAAATTTTGTTCTCAATTCTAAAATGTTGGTCCTCCTAACCCTACTTGAGAGCATCAAATGTTGGTCCTCCTAACCCTACTTGAGAGCATCAAATGTTGGTCCTCCTAACCCTACTTGAGAGCATCAAATGTTGGTCCTCCTAACCCTACTTGAGAGCATCAAATCCTAAATTTTAAACCCTGTTCCCAGTGACTAGTGTCTTAACCCTCTACCGCCGTATGTCACTTTCCTGCAACGTAACTTTCAACTTAAATTATACGTAAACTATTAATACGGATGAAGTATCAATAGTTTAAATAGTTTACATATATTATAATTGTGCGTAAACTATTGAGTGTAGCAACCTGAGGACGTTTGTACGCAACAGAGAACATTTTAAAGTTGTACGTGGCGGCAACCATCAGTGCAAGTCATTTTGCGCTCACTAGAACGCATCCTTTTTGGGGATAATTTGTATTTTACAATATTATGCAAAACGGAAGATATTGTATTAAATATTATAGAAGGCTTGTGGCAATATTGCTCCGGTTACTCGTGTCAGGCGGTACAGGGTTAATTTGAAACCTTACTGCCTAAATTTGAAGCATGATGCCTACATATTGATCACCGATCTCTAAATAAAAAAAAACAGCTGATTCACAAATATCGAACACCAAGGCCAACTTTTGGATGTAATGGAGAGACTCAGTGCCCAATTGACTCTAAGTGAAGAATGCAGATATTTTTTTATTTATTAAGACGAGATGACCTGAAAAAATGTATTTTCGAAACATCTACTATAGGTGGTACCGTGTTGACAGTTGCCGTACCGTGCTCTGTTGACAGTTGCCGTACCGTGCTCTGTTGACTGTTGACAGTTGCCATACCGTGCTCTGTTGACAGTTGCTGAGTTACTGTACCGTACCCTGTTGACAGTTGCCATACCGTGTTCTGTTGACAGTTGCTGAGTTACTGTACCGTACCCCGTTGACAGTTGCCATACCGTGCTCTGTTGACAGTTGCTGTACCGTGCTATGTTGACAGTTGCTGTACCGTACTCTGTTGACAGTTGCCATACTGTGCTCTGTTGACAGTTGCCGTACCGTGCTATGTTGACAGTTGCTGTACCGTACTCTGTTGACAGTTGCCATACTGTGCTCTGTTGACAGTTGCCGTACCGTGCCTTGTTGACAGTTGCCGTACCATGCCCTGTTGACAGTTGCCATGTCGTGTTCTATTGACAGTTGCTGTACCGTGCCCTGTTGACAGTTGTCATACCGTGCCCTGTTGACAGTTGCCGTACCGTGCCCGTTGACAGTTTCCGGGCCGTGCTCTGTTGACAGTTGTCATACCGTGCCATGCTGACAGTTGATACACCGTGTTCTGTTGACAGTTGCTCGACCATGCCCCGTTGACAGTTGCCATACCGTGACCGGTTGACAGTTGCCGTACCGTGCCTTTTTCACAGTTGCCATACGGTGCCCTGTTGACAGTTGCCCTGCTGGCAGTTGCCTTGTTGGCAGTTGCCCTGTTGACTGTTGCCCTGTCGGCAATTGCCATACCATGCTCTGTTGACAGTTGCCTTACCATGCTCTGTTGACAGTTGCCATACCATGCCCTGTTGACAGTTGCCCTGTTGACAGTTGCCCTGTTGACATTTGCCCTGTTGACATTTGCCCTGTTGACAGTTGCCCTGTTGACAGTTGCTCTGTTGACAGTTACTCTGTTGACAGTTACTCTGTTGACAGTTACTCTGTTGACAGTTGCCCTGTTGACAGTTGCCTTGTTGACAGTTGTCAAACCATGCTCTGTTGACAGTTGCCATAACATGCCCTGTTGACAGTTGCCTTGTTGACAGTTACCATGCCTTTCTCTGTTGACAATTGCCGTACCGTATCTTGTTGACAGTTGCCATACCGTCCTCATATGACTGCCATACCGGGCCCTGTTGATAGTTGCCATACAGTGAATTGTTGACAAATGCCATACCATGCCCTGTTGACAGTTGCCGTACCACGTCTTATTGACAGTTGACATACAGTGCCCTGTTGACAGTTGACATACAGTGCCCTGTTGACAGTTGACATACAGTGCCCTATTTACAATTACAATACCATGTCATGTTGACAGTTGTCATACCGTGCCCTGTTGACAGTTGTCATACCGTGCCCTGTTGACAGTTGCCATACCATGCCCTGTTGACAGTTGTCACACCATGCCCTTTTGACAGATGTCATGTCGTGCCCTGTTGACAGTTGACACACCGTGTCCTGTTGACAGTTGCGGTACCGTTCGTTGTTGACAGTTGCCACAACATGATCTGTTGACAGTTGTCATTCCGTGCCCTGTTAACAGTTGCCATAGCTTTCCCTGTTGACACTTGACATATCATGAGCTGCTAACAGTTGCCATACCGTACCCTGTTGACAATTGCCATACCGTACCCTGTTGACAGTTGCCATAACGTCCCCTGTTGACAGTTGCCATACCGTGCCTTTTTGACAGTTGCCGAACCGGGCCCAGGTGACAGTCGCCATATCGTGCTTTGTTGACAGTCGCCATATCTTTCCACTGTTGCCATACCGTGCCCTGTTGACTGTTGTCATACCGTGCCCTGTTAATTGACAGTCGCCATACCGCACCTAGTTGACAGTTTCATAACGTGATATGCTGACAGTTGAAAAACCGTGTAGTATTATCTTGCATAAGCCATCAGGAATTGAGGTTTTAAACCGTATTTTGTAATAACATTGTAAAGACATTTTCAAACTAGGTTTTGAAATGACTATTTTGTGTCTCGCAGATGACCCGAAACCCCCTGGTGGTTGCCTGCTGGAGAGCTTCTCCACAGGTCAGCTCGTCATATCCCCACCACCCAACTTTACCAGCGACGATGCAGGAGTTCTCAGACTCGCTGGGACCAGCGGGTATCCTGCGGGACTCCCTCCTCCTGGCAGGATCTATTTGCCGGGCAACAGCGTATATCCTACTGGCGCCGCTACCAATAACGAATATCCTGCCGAGTCCACTTCCACCAGCAGTGTATACGTGGCAGGATTTCCCTCCAACGTCAGCGGTGGTGTTAGCTCTGGGGTCCACAGCTCCACCGATCAACACGTCGGGCGTCATACAATGGCGCACAATGACGCTGCGTCTGTCCCAGAAACTGCAGAAATCCTACACAACCTGACTTCATCCACTAGAATTTTGGTTCCGGTGCACCCTGCGGCGGATGTAAATCTGATCGCAGACGATGCACAAAGCTCCTCTGCCCTTGGGTCTTCAGAAGTTCCTGTAGGTGGCGGTGCTGCTGGGGTCGCGCAGCTGGTGGCGGTAGACGATGTCGCTGATGAAGCTCAGAGTGGTGCAGATAACCCTTCCCTGCCGCCCTTCACCAGACCTCCTCTCGAAGACAGGTAATGAACCCCTACCGGGCGGGGGATCCATGGATGAACCCTATAAGGTGCGACCTTCTCTCGAAGACAGGTAATGAACCCTACAGGTTTAGCCTCTAAAATGCTTTTCAATGTCGCCTTGTTATAGACGCTGCTGCCACCGTCGCCGCTAACCGATGACTTGGTAAACTTCTTTCGTAAGATGAGGAAATCTTTCTGTTCGCTCCTCCATTCGAGGTGATGAAATGAGAACTGCTGTAGGAGGAAGTGTACACCAATCTGATAATGTGTGTTGCTGTAACATATGTCGTTCAATATTGCAGAGAGGATTTTGACTTGAATTTAACGTTTAAAATCATCAAAAAAAAATGATTGGGAACAGTATTTTTGTGTTGAAGGCAATTTTTTTTTAGTTTGCTTTGCATAATTTTGAGAGTATTTTTCTTACTTTATACCGCTATCAAATTTTTCCTGAGTTCTACTAGTTCGTTAGTTTTAAGATTTTTAAGTTTAAAATAACAATTTATTATTATTATTATATTTCCAGATCAAAATACGAGAAGTTTCAGAACCTTCAAGACGAAAGCGACGAGGACAGAGACGCAGGGTCGGTCGTGCCGACTAACGAGTTTCCGAGATCCGCAATGCGTCGCCTGAAGGGTGGACGGTCCGTCAAAACCACGACCAAGATCGGCGTCGACGGCAAGCCCGAATCGGTGTTCGTGTGCGTGTCCGACGACGACTCCATCGGGTCCGCGAGCGACCTGAAGGCACGCATCAACGACGAAGCTGCCGACGACAGAGGACGTGAAGATGTGTCAGAGACCATCAGTTCGTCCGTGTACCACGCAGAGTGTGAGAGCGTCACCACCCACGAGGAGGACCCTCGGGTCACGGGTGGCACTGACGCCACGAGACGTGGGCCCAAGCCCAGTAGGGCCTCCATGCGGGCTCGTGCCAACGCCAAAATAGAGCAGGAGAAACGGAGAGCCTCTAACCCGGACCGCCTCCTAGGCCACGAGTACGGCGAGAAGCCATTGCTTCTTGACGATGAACTCGACGACGTGCTTGACGAAGAAGAAAAGTCTGTCATGGCGAGTGATGAGCCGAAGCCCCAAGCCTCGTCACCCACCGTCGCCGCTGAGGAATGTGCCTCCCTCATAAACCTCGCGTCCCCACCACCGCCCCAGCCTCCCCTTATGACTCCGTCGTCCGCCAGCACCCGCGGGGAGGTTGATGGAGACGATGACGTCTTTGCGTTGGCTCCCTTCAAGAACCCTTTGCAGAAACTTGGGACTATATTCTCCGTGCCCGCCTCCATCTCCACGCACCTGCAGCAGGTCAAGCAGCTGCCCATTCGAACTGCGGCATCCGTAGCGACTTACTCGCCTCTTAATGTCGCCACGCCCTCGCCAGACGAGCGTACCTCCTACCAGGACAGCGAGAGAAGACCTAGCCAAACGCACGTCATTTACGAAGAATCTCCCTCCGAAGAATTCCCCATCTACGAAAACGTAACATTGAGTAAAAAATGTTTACTTCCTGAGACTGATGACTTCGAGGGCGTGTATCCTCGTCCGGAGTTGAGCAACTCTATTGTCCGCACGGCAGCCAGCAACCCATTCATCAACCCTTTTTATGACGAGTCTGGGAGCAACGTCCATGTTATATCCCTTCCTGGGACATCCGTTACCAGTGAAGGTGTCAGCGAAACAGCAACGCTATTAGCCAGCGACGCAGACGTTGCCGTAAGCAAGGACGTCATGTCTCAGAGCGTCGACTCACTAACATTCAGACAACCAAGCTGCGCGTTGTCTAAAGTCTCCTCGCATTCCAGCACCGACTTGTTTGGGTCTACACCCTTTGGCTGTGTGGACTACAAATCCAAGCCTTTAGCGAACGAAACTGCAATCAACACATCGCCTTTAGACGACACGACTTCGCATGTGCCTGTGGAAACGCCATTCCCTGCTCAAGTAACTCCCAAGTCAAAGCCAAGCCATTTCTACTCGTCGTCTGCGGACGTTAACCCAGCGTATCAAGCCGCCACTTCTACGCCTCGGACCAGCAAGTCCAACGAAGTCGTCCTCAACAAAACTGACGACGACGAATTAGACGACGAAGACCTTTTTGGGTCAGTGCCTTTCAAGCCAATTTTAAGTAACAGCCAACGATCGTTTTTAGGACTCAAGAGCCGGACGCTTCCTGCCAACATGAGCTCGTCCTTGCAGAGCCAAGTGCACCAAATGGCCAGGGAGGAAATGCTTAACACACACACTGAAATGTTCAAAACCTCTGCCAAGGGAGGCAAGAAGATGACGCCACCGACCTTCCGTAAGCCTCGCCTTACTCACCAAATTCTGTCCTCCGAGTCCGAGAGTTCCAGCGAAGAGAGCCTAGGCAGCAGCAGCAGCCTGGCCAAGAAGTCGAAGGCCCGCGACAGAAGTAAAGACCGACTTAAATACAAGAACATCAGCGAGGAGTTCGAGGAGGAAAACATGATGGTGCTGCCCATGAAGCAGTTCAGTTTGTCCAAGAAGGATAAGCAGGGGAAGAAGAGCAAAAAACTTGATAAACCGGATAAAATCGACAAGAAACAAGAGAAAATAGAGAAAAAACTAGAAAAGGCCGAAAAAAAGTCTGAAAAGGCCGAGAAAAAGCTAGAAAAACTTGAGAAGAAAGCGGAAAAAGCCGAGAAGAAGCTGGAGAAGACCGAGAAAAAGAGCGATAAAAGCGAAAAGAAGTCTGAGAAAAACGTTAAGAGTGACAAGAAAGTTGACAAGAGTCTTAGTTACGAGTCTGTTGGGATCTCGAACATGAGTTTTGAGGACCAGACTCTCGAAGACTCCCGCAAGGCAGCCTGTGGTGGGAGCAGACACTCCATCAGCTCCCCCGACGAAGAGGGAGCTGACTTGCGCACTTCGGGAGCCACCAGATTTGGCTCCCTCAAGCGCGGCATTAATCCCTTCTCCAAACTCAGCAACAGAATTTGAGAGGACGAGTCCTGACGATTCGCTGTATTTGAGGAAATGAGTCTCGATAACAAAGTATTTGAGGGAACGAGTCTCTAAAATTCGAAGTTTCTGAGGGAATGAGTCTCGATATTTCAAAGTATTTGATCGAATAATTCTAAATTACTTGCTGTATTTAAAGGGACGAGTCTACTTCTTCCTAAGTGTTACTGTCTCCACGTAAGCTTGCAAACTGCTCGTCTCTTATTCAGCTGGCCTACTGGCAATGAGATGAAAGTTCCACCTTTCAAAAGCAACTAAATAATCATAAAAATTAGCATACAAGAAGGAAACATTAGCCGATAAGCCTTCCTCGGTGCAAGCTCATCGCAATCACGACGAACGATGCCCACTCCAACGCAGCTTTTTTGCCAGGTGACACGTGTTCAGTGGTGTTCATTTAACGTATTACTCTCCTATCTTATAATGATAGTTAAACCTTGATTTCGAGTGTAGGTGGGCTCATATGTTGAACCAAACCATTGTAAAGACTTCAAACTGTGTTATTAAATACCTGCGAGTGCGTAAATCATACGAGAAGTGAGTGATACTGGCAAAGAATATCTTCCTTCTAGTGTATCGCTCTGCATCTCTGGTCGAGTGGCGGACCAGCAGGGCTTCGTTTAATAGAATTTTACTGAACAACTTCTTGCCGACGACACTTCAAGGCTAACTTGCGTATTGTGGCAGCGACTTGGATAGCGTAATACATTCATGTTGACAACATGCGTATTGTGGCATGTTATATCAAGTATTATTTAAACGTGTTCGATATGTGCGAGGAGTAACATATGCATTTTGGCATGTGTTTTGGGTTATATATCTATGTCGCCAAGATGCGAGGGGTAACATGCGTATTATGGCTTGTTATACTGGGTAACATTATGAAGGTGGGGTAGTAGTACTTTGGTAGACGTAGACGACATAAGTTAGTCTTTCTCTTATTTTGCTCTTCATATGCGGCGTCTTCCATGTTCCTAGCCATACTACAGACTTGTTTGCTCTCAAGATGACATTTATTGTAAATCTGTTGTCGCCATAAATATTGTTGTTATTGTTGTCGGGTGCGCTTGAAGTCTAGTTGGTGGTGCGGTTGGAGTCGTGGGTTGGTGGGGCGGTTGGAGACTTGGAGTGTGGTGCGGTTGGAGACTTGGAGTGTGGTGCGGTTGGAGTCGGGGTTGGTGGTGCGGTTGGAGTCGGGTTGGTGGTGCGGTTGGAGTCGGAGTTGGTGGTGCGGTTGGAGTCGGTGTCGGGGTTGGTGGTGCGGTTGGAGTCGGGGTTGGTGGTGCGGTTGACGTCGGGGTTGGTGGTGCGGTTGGAGTCGGGGTTGGCGGTGCGGTTGGAGTCGGGGTTGGTGGTGCGTTGAAGTTGAGGTTTGTGGGTGGGAGTCGAGGTTATGGAGTTGGGTTTATGGTGCGATTGGAGTTGGAGTGGGGGTTGGTGGTGCGGTTGGAGTCGTGATTTTTATTCGAATTGGAGTCGGGGATTGTGGGTTAAGTCTGATTTTTTTTTTGTGCGGTTTGACTAAAAATTTTTGGTTGTAACTGTTGTCTTGTTTCGTGTTGGTGGCGACCCGCAAGCTGTCTGATGGAAGTGCGATCTGTTGACTCAACCATCGAGTGATTGCAATGTTCCATTAAGAATGAAGCTGTTACATGTAATTAAAACACTATTTTCAATGGTGAAATTACGTGGTTAATTGTCAGACACGTGACATTGTGAGTCAACGCGTGAGTGAAATACTTCCTGACAGTTACTTTTTAAACAATTTATTGATAATTACATACGTTATTTAGTTGATCAATGATGCTGTGTGTTACAATTGACTGTTTTCTCTCTATTTATTGTACGATATTATAATACGTGTTCATCTTATCGTATGTTATTTGTCTGCACTTTTGTGTTGTGTCTTTATTTATGCACGAGTTAGTCATGAGACATTCGTGTCACATTATTCTTATAGTTCATATTTAATTACCTGTTAAATTTGTTGCAAGGTTCTGCGCCGATTTGAGCAACGAAGCTGCTGTCATTGAGAACGAAAAATGCTAGTAGCAGTTTATTTGCAGCATTAAAGCATTTATTATGTACACACAAATATAAACTTAAAACGTGACATGCCTGCTCTCCCACTGCGCCTATCCTGCCTTGCCCGGCGCCGACGCGGCGCTGATCTTACCACAACCTTGGCGCAGTTGTCATTGTGGCAGCTTCCTACAATTATAATTTGAATTATAATTTTTCAATGAACCTTATCGCTTTGTTATTGAATAAACTGATGAATAACTTTGCGATAAACTTTACTTGACTTTCAGAAAAACCTTCACTTGACTTTCCCTGTAAAACCTTACCTTTTCTTCCGATACTTTTTCACAGTCTCTGAGATATAACAGCAGTCATCTGCCTGTAACAGCTGGCAGGAATATAACAGCAGTTGCCTGCCTGTAACAGCTGGCAGGAATATAACAGCAGTTGCCTGCCTGTAACAGCTGACAGGAATATAACATACAACACAAGTTGATAAGACGACGCTCGAGGAATGTTACCGTAATGTTTGTTTAAATATTTTTAAAATGTAAACAAATAAATATTTGTTTTTTTCGTTGTAATAGTGTTTGAATATTTTTCACATGTAATGGCAGTGTACCGAGAAAAAGGTTTCAATTTCACCTCAGCAGCTGAGCGCTGAAGTGTCTATCGAATTGCGCCGCTGGTTTTTCTAACATTTAAATAGCATTACATAGTCGTCGTACAGAAGTCGAGTTGAGTAAAGAATTCTTTCTAAATAAAATCTTACAAGTTGTTACTTCAGAAAACTGTAATAGCTGCTGCACTCAGGCGCTCTGTATTCATTCAATCCTCCAATTCATGATAAGGGTTTAATAAACTTACAATGAACCATGAACAATTATTTGCTGCGCAAGATTTTCACCCGCGATAGACACCACGACTCCTATTCGCTGCGCCAGCTTTTACACCAAAAAGAACAAAGAACTTTTCCAAAGAACATGCAGAGCTTCACCATCACAGACGCTTCACAAGCTGAGCTTCACCATCACAGACGCTTCACTAGCAGAGCTTCACCATCACAGACGTTTCACAAGCTGAGCTTCACCATCACAGACGCTTCACAAGCAGAGCTTCACCATCACAGACGTTTCACAAGCTGAGCTTCACCATCACAGACGCTTCACAAGCAGAGCTTCACCATCACAGACGCTTCACAAGCAGAGCTTCACCATCACAGACGCTTCACAAGCAGAGCTTCACNTGGTATCCGGATGATGCCATGTTTCAGATGGTATCCGGATGATGCCATGTTTCAGATGGTATCCGGATGATGCCATGTTTCAGATGGCATCCGGATGATGCCATGTTTCAGATGGCATCCGGATGATGCCATGTTTCAGAAGGTATCTGGATAATTATCTCTGAAACTATTTCGAAATTTTTATAAAACCTTCAGGCTCTGCGAGCTCGTCGTAAATATATTGTGATATTCAACGAGTTAATTAATAGCTTGAGTGTTTCTCAGCCCTGGAGCCCTCATGGGTCGGCCTATTGGTTTCTAACCCCCTACCTCACTCAGCGTTGCACTGGGAAAAATGCATGGATATTATTGTCCCAATAGTAACGCACGTTCTTGCCCACAGCACGAGCAGACAACGCAATGTTTGGTCCTCTTGAAGGGCCAAACTGTGTCAGGATGACCCACTATTGAGCAAAAAGATAATCGCTCTCTGGAGGAAGTCTCACTCATTCCTCTAAGTGTGGCAACGTAAGGGCCGCCGGTTGTGGGCGCTGGTTTATATTGAAATTGGATTCCTATTACTATTTCGCGATGGATCTGAATATTGTTAGGTGTATTTTTCTCTATCAAACAATAAAATAGGTTTATGTTTAACCAGTTTTTTTATGAGGGTGACTAAGATAAATTTGATCATGGCACAAATTTGGGGCTGAATCCAATAACCCAATTTTTTCTGTCAAGCCTTATTTGCACCTGCGGGTAAAAATGCATCTCATTTCCTATGACCATTAATAAAGAGTTATCTCTGAATACAAATGTATTTACGCTTGCTTATCAAGTCTCAGGTCGATTCAGTTCTCTAGAACATGCACGGTTCATGTTAGGAAAGAAGCGTTCACTTGCACATGCCAAGCGTATTGCGACACTTGCGCTCTAACTTCCTTCTACTGCCATTAGTGCTTCTTATTTTATAGCGTTGTTCTTCAATTTGTTTGACTTGTCTCCTTACCACACCATAAATAACTCCACTATCAGGTTATTGATCGAACGCTCCACCCGCAGGATTAAAATTGTACTGTGGGTCAAGATTCCACGTTTACAATTGTGTTTGAAGAGAATGTACGTGTTGTATAAAAAAATAAGGAGCGTCTCGATAGATGGAAAAGGTTAATGCCTTGTATTATTATTATTATTATTATTATTATTATTATTATTCGATAATATTACGATAGATAAGATCTTAGCCATTATTTCGATAGTGACAAAATGTCCCCCAAAATGTTTCTAGAGCAGCTAGCGATCATTGTAGGAAGAAGAACGAGTTGATATGTTCAGGAGGCGATTGCCCAGAATGCATGCTTGCAAAACCTATATTTTGGATGCATGTATTATACCGAATTTCAATACTACTTTAATAAAATTATTATTTAACCTAATATTTCACAAGTTGTTTCATGATTAAATCTCTAACTGCTATGCAGCTTACCTGTTGTTTATTAAATTGGTTATTTAGGAATTGGTTCTAATTGAATGGCGTTCCTCTAGCGTCCAGTTATTTAAACGTATGTTCTTCCACCGAAACATGCCATTAAGATAATTATTTGTGAATTGTCTTCATATTTATTGCCATTTATGGCTACTTACATGTTCCTTGAAATAGCTCAGCTTGTTATCTAATTACTCGTTGCTCTTGTATTACATCTACCGTCGCTATCTACTGAGCTTTATAAAA